GGAACTTTTGAGGTGGATAAAAATTAATGATTTTTGAGAGGTTTTGGGCCCTTTTCGGTTGTGTGCTAAATTTGTAAGATTTTGCCTTGTTTTTTAAGACGCCAAATGTCCTGGCCCTGACTTGGTTATCCAATAATCGCTTTTTTTTTATTTAAACACAAACCAGATCCGTGATTTATGACAAAATGGTATAATTTGCCAACAAAAGAATCATTTATTGGTAGCCGACCGCTTTAAAGGGTCTTTTTGTTGTAAACCTTGGAATCTTATCCCAATTGCAGTTCTCCATTGTCACCTAAATTTACGATGGCACAAGTTGCAGGTCTTAAATAAAAATGATTTTCAAAGTTAAGATGGAATATTCCATTTTATTCAAAATCTAATTGGTATTTTTTTTCTCTGATTTTGTAAACAATTGTAGGAAGTGAATCTGCGTAGGTCAGTATAAAACTTAGAATTAAACTTTTTGGGAGGAAATTACTTTTTATTTTTTTTTTGACTTTGTAAATGAAAAATTACCAAAAAATTAGAGAATGTTCCAGGTAAGTGTGAAAAAAATCAACAATTTTATTTAATTTCTTTTCTGCGCGTAACCGATGCCCCTCCCGGTATATATTTTTTTACAATTATTCAGTAAAGGTACAAAAATTTTGTCAATAAACGCCACAAATAACATTAAACAAAGTTACAGGTTAAAATACAGCTTCCTTGTTTCCGCTTCTAATAGCGTGTAGCAAAAAAACTTGGAAAATTATTTTTCCAACAGGAATAAATAGAGTCTAAACTCTCATAACTTTGAAATTTTTATAGATAGATTTTTTTAATTTTTTCTATGTTCCTGGTTTTGGCGCATTCTGTATGTGCATATGATGAAGAACGTTACACCTTCAACTTTTAAAATCGCGATATCTCAGGAATGGTGATTCTTAGAAAAAAAGTATAAAGACCATTTTTGTAGATAATTTCAAGATCTATAATTTTTGTCTGGACTACTTTTTTGATAAAACTTAGCGTTTTCGAAAAAAATCTAAAAAACCTCAAATTTTGACCTTTGACCCCAAATAACTTTTTTAGCACACATGGGATCGATGGGGACTTTTGACACTTTATTTCTAACCCAAAGTCTCCACCAAAATTTAGCTCTGTCGGAATTTTCGTTATTTTTTATGACTAAAATGGGTGATTTACCCGGTTTGGGGCCACTCACCTGATGCACTCGTCGGGGTAGGCGTCGCAGTCGATCAGACAGCGGAAGCGCTGCCAGTGCATCCACCCCATTGGGGGGGTCAAAGCCAGGCCGTTGTCGAGGGCGAAGCCCCGCGAGGCAAACACCACGATTAGCAAGAGACTTAGCATGGCAAAGTTTGGCACTAAACTGATCAAAAATCACTCAATGGTTCAATAAACTGCGAAATGTGTGGGTTTGAAGATCGCTTATTTGAATTTTAAATGAAATTGTTTCAACTGATTTAAATTCACATAGTGACAAATCGGGTTTGGGCTTATCATGCAACTATTTTATCGGTTAATGGGTGTTAAAAACATTCCAGTGTCTAGTTACACGCACTAAACATTTTTTCTCATCATTTTTATAAAAAAAAAATCACCGAAATCCAACAAAACAAGCCGAAATTGTTTTTGATTAAAGTGGCCTGTGATTTTTAATTTAAGTTGGCACCATTGAGTACAAATCGACTAGTCAATTTTTATACCGGGTGATTGTAAATGATTGTGATTTTAATCCAGGTTAGTGCCAAACTTAAAATTTTAGTTTGGCAACCTTGACTTTTAAAACCAAACGTCAAACTTTTAAAGGCAATTTATTTGCGATTTAACCGTCACCTGAAATATTCCGATATAAATTAGAAGGATTAGCAATAATTCAGTGTTGCCAATAGATTTTTTATTAGTCACCCGGAAATTTCAGTGAAACAAGTCAAATATTTTTAGATTATTTTTTTTCGATTTAGTCTATTTTTTACGAAAATGTTTCTAATTTTATTCACTTTCTAATGAAAATTTAAATCATTATTAATATATTTTTCTGGATCGGAGCTAGAAATTTCAAAATTAGTTTTTTTTTCATTTGTTTTAGATTATTTTTATATCGTATATTTTTAAAATGGAACTAAGAAATTACCAGATCTGCTTATAAATCAATTATTTTGTTTGTTTCTTCGGTTTAGTGCATTTTTAATAAAAATTTGTCAATTTTTTAAATTTTGTGTTATTTTCATTAGTTTCAAGCCCATTTCTCAACAAAAAATACTTTTTCGGCTATTTCGTGTAATTTTTTGCTTATTTATTAACGAAAATCTAACATTTTTAAGAGATTTTGTTGAATCGTTTCAAAAAAATCCAAAATTGGGCACAAAATATGTTATTTTGAACAGTTTTATCACATTTTAATTATTACTAAACGAAAAGTGACTTTAAATTTTGAAATTTTTTTCAATTAATCACTAAGATTTGCTGAAATGCAACAAGACTTTTTTCCTCTACATTTTTGAGATATTTTTGCTTGATTTAATTCATTTTTAAACGAAAACACTTCTCATTTTACGAATTTTATTTGAATTAATGCAACAAATCGTAAAATTAGACCTGAAATATTCTCTTTCGGGTGTTTTCAGTAACTTTTTGCTTATTTATATACTAATACTTTTTCGGTTATTTTTTATTTTATTTTTTTTTCGGTAATTTTTTGCTTATTTATTAATGAAAACATTTTAACATTTTTAATAGATATAAGCCCATTTCTCAACAAAAAATACTTTTTCGGCTATTTCGTGTAATTTTTTGCTTATTTATTAACGAAAATCTAACATTTTTAATAGATATTGCTGAATCTTTTCAAAAAAATCCAAAATTGGGCACAAAATATGTTATTTTGAACAGTTTTGTCTTATTTTAATTATTACTAAACGAAAGGTGACTTTAAATTCTGAAATTTTCTTCAATTAATCGCAAAAGCTTGCTGAAATGCAATTGCAGTGATAACAAGACTTTTTTTAGCTACATTTTTGAGATATTTTTGCTTCATTTAATTCATTTTTAAGGAAAATACTTCTTATTTTACGAGTTTTATTTGAATTAATGCAATAAATCGTAAAATTAGACCTGAAATATTCTCTTTCGGTTGTTTTCAGTAACTTTTTGCTTATTTTTCAATGAAAATCTAAATGATTTTAATAGATTTCGTTGATTTGGAACTAAAATTTGGACTTTTTTTATTTGATTTTGATTATTTTCAGATCGTATTTCTCGAGAATTTATTAATCAAAACGTGAAATTGCAAAATTTGGTTATTTCTGCTTGTAGTATATTTTGTCTATTTTTTTAATTGTGTTATTTTCATTAGTTTCAAGCACATTTACCAATAAAAAATATTTTTTGGCTACTTCGTGTAGTTTTTTGCTTGATTATTAAAATACTTCTTCATTTTTGAGTTTTATTTGAATTAATGCAACAAATCGTAAAATTAGACCTGAAATATTTTTTTCGGGTGTTTTTTGTATCTTTTTGGTTATTTTTCAATGAAAATCTAAACGATTTCGAGAAATTTCTTGGATTAGATTTAAAAAACTATTATTTATTTTTCTTAAATCGCATTTGTGTGATTTTTTAAAATAAATCAGTTACAGTTAATTTTGTTATTTTTAAAATTTTGTGTTATTTTTGTTAGTTTCTAGCCATTTTTTTATAGATATTTTTGCGTAGGTATTTATTTATTTTTCTGACAAAGTTGTTATAAGTCTTCAAGTGTGTCATAAATAAACTTGTACTGTTCCTAAAGATTATCCAAAAGTATCAAAAACTTAAAAAAGTTCTTTTATCAGTTTAGTAACCACTTGGCTCATATAGTATTTTAAATTTTTGAATTAAAAGAATTTTTTTCATTTTTAAAAAAACAAATTATTTTAGTAATTTTTTTTTGGGAGGATGAAACTGAAAGAATTTGTTTATTTATGATTTTTTGCTAAAAATTTATCATTCCCGACATTGACATTTTTTTCAAATTTTTTTCGATAATTAAATAACAATTTTTTTCGGGCTTTTTGTATTTGTCTCGCAATTTTTTTTTAACATTATTTTGGATGAAACGAAAAAAAGTCCAAAACTGGGCTCAAACTATTTATTGAAACACCAAAATCAATCTAGTTTTTTAATTCTCGTTTTAGTGATTTTTTTCTTCATTGGCGACCAAATGCCACAACACAGCTCCTAAAAAAAACAAATATCCCCAAATAAAACACAAAAATTAAATCCCTACCTGTGGGATTCACAAAAACTTCAAGTGTGTCATCACTTTTCACTTGAGTTGTTTCATCAGAAACGAACGCATCCTAACAATAATTATAAAAAAAAAATTAAAAAACTAATTTTTCTCTTACCGTAAGCACATAACCTGCACTATTATTAAGCCCAAAATCCCTAAGGGCAAACTCTAGTCTAAAGGGATAACCATCATCCCTATTACTGACAAACCCCACAGCGTAGGAAAATTCCCCACCAACAGTTGGCAAAACTGGTTTCACCCAAACGTCAATATTATCAATCTAAAAATCCCTAAATTATTTTAATTCTAGCAAAAATTGCAAAAAACCGTTGTTTGCAAATGTCCTTGAATCCCTAAAGCGTCTTGATTGATTTTAATCGCGTGTTTATTTAAGAGAATTGCTTTAAATTCGCCTTTGATGGTTCTTAAATCAACCGACATGATTAATGGGGCCGCCCATATGGACCATATGGTCATTTGGGCCTTGCTTTGGTCCAGACTTAACCCAAAATTCCCGATAATCAACTAAAAAAATTTTGATTTTTTTACCATTAAAATGATTTTTTTACCATATCTGGGTCATTCCAATGCCCAGGGCCTGCAACCGTCACATATTTATCCCCATTTTGCTTGTAATGATTAACAATGTTGGTAACACTGATCCAGGAATCCTCAATATCGTTGTAGTTCCGCCAGAGATTACATGCCTCAATTGCCACACTATAATTGGCCTAAAGTGCAATTAATTACAATTTTTAGTTAATTTAATTACTAATTAATTACTTTATTTCCTCGATATAGGGGAAATTCGCATGAGAAAACAATTTCCCGCCCTGTTTCATTCAAATATCCCGCCATTTCTAAATGCCCCGCCTCCATTGATTCATCCGGTGTGACATTACAACCGTCAAATTTCAAATAATCCACCCCCCACTCCGCAAAAGTCTGAGCATCAATTTCCAAATTGTTTAAACTTCCCGGATATCCGGCACAAGTTTTGGTCCCGTAATCCTCATAAATCCCGAATTTGAGCCCTTTGGCGTGGACATAATCGGCGAGGGCCTTGATTCCCGAGGGAAATCGGTCGGGATCGGGCTGGAGTCGGCCCTCGGAGTCCCTTTCCATAGCCAACCAGCAATCATCCATGATGAGGTACTCATAACCGGCGTCCAAATACCCATCAGACGCCATTTTGTCCGCCATTGCTTTGAATAACTCCTCGCTGGAAGTGTGATTTAGGGTTTTGGGGGTTTTAGGGTTGGCATACCTGATACAGTCGAAGGGGAATTGGCGGCAGTCAGTCTCGCAACGAAAACGCTCCCAGTGCAGCCAACCCATGGGCGGGGTTAGGGCCAAACCATTGTCAAGGGCGTTTGCGTAGAGGATGCAGAGGGATAAGATGAACAAAACCGGGGATTCCACCATTTTGGTAACTAACTAGTGACTAAAGTTTTACTTACTTGTTACCAAACTATAGACAAACACTTGATTTTTGTCACAAATTTCAAGTTGTTTCATCTTATCAAAAAATTGATTTTATCTAAATAGTTTGTTTTTGTATCAAAGGTTTCAATTTTGCCTTAATCAAGTGTCAAATTTGACATTTTTCATATTGACATCGCGCCAAATTTAAAAATTACAAAAAGTAAATGTCAAATTTGAGATTACTAGTTGTCACTTTTGACGTTTAAAAATGACATTTTGAACACTGAAATAAATGAGCAAATCTTGATCTATTTTTTATTTAACACAAAATTAACAACATTTATTTCACTTTTTTTTTAAGGAAGTTGTACTGGCATATTTTTAGAACATTTTTTTTGAAAAATCGCCAATTTTTAGTTAAGAATTCTTCTCGATTATTTTTCAACTCGATGGTAATATACTATTTAACTACATACTTGTATTCAGTCATTAGCTCTTCAACGTATTATAAGTTATTTTTGGAGTTTTGATAAACTTGTGAATTTTTTTTTGAAAAAATCGTTCATTTTCAACTTCGATTTCAATTTGATAAAAAAGGAAATTTTGTTGAAATTCTCAAGAATTCTTTTCGATTATTTCTTAACTCGATTGTAATATACTATTTAACTTTTCGTGTTCAATCATTAGTTCTCCAATAAGTTGTTCTTGGAGTGCTTTAGGAAGTTTTGAAGAGTGAAATTTTGACAACATTCTCGAGAATTTTTCTTGATTATTTTCCAGTTTGATTGTAATATACTATTTAACTACACATTCGTATTCAATCATTAACCCTCCAACGTATTTTAAGTTACTTTTGGAGTACTTTAGAAAGTTTTGATAAACTTGTGAATTTTTTTGAACTTTTTTTTTTAAATCGCTCATTTTTAAAACGAAAAGATGAACAAAACCGGGGAATCCACCATTTTTAGAGAGTTTTGTCTCACAGTGTTGGTAACTAACTAGTGACTAAAGTTTTACTTACTTGTTACCAAACTATAGACAAACAAATTCAATCACACTTGATTTTTGTCACAAATTTCAAGTTTCATCTTATCAAAAAATGTGATTTTATCTAAATAGTTTGTTTTTGTATCAAAGGTTTGAATTTTGCCTTAATCAAGTGTCAAATTTGACATTTTTCATATTGACATCGCGCCAAAAAAAAAATACAAAAAGTAAATGTCAAATTTGACATTACTAGTGTCACTTTTGACGTTGACGTCGCGCGAAATTTAAAAATGACATTTTGGACACTGAAATAAATAAGCAAATCTTGATTTATTTTTTATTTAACACAAAATTAACAACATTTATTTCACTTTTTTTTTTGCTAGTGGGGTAAGTTCCCATAGGACTCCTCCTGTGGGATTAACCAAAACTTTGATCGGTTCACTGACCGAAACCGAGATTGGGTCAACATCATCAAAAACATTCTACAATAAAAAAAACAAAACACTCGAGAATTATTCCATTACAAAACGTACTTTTATCAAAAAACCCTTCTCATTATCCAAACCCAAATCTTTCAAAACAATTTCAAGTTGATAAGGTTTGCCATCGACTCGATAACTGGCGATTCCAATAGCGTACGAATCGTCAACAAGCTCCTTAACCCAAAGCCTAATACTGTCTTTCTGAAAATTACAATAAAATATGTGCCCATTAAATAATATACTATTTACTAATAAATAGTATATTATTTAACGAATATAATATAGCCTTTTTGGGCCCTTACTTCGTGTTTCACAACTCCGGGATTCCCCAAAACGTCCTGATTGATGCGAATCGCGTCCTTGTTTAGCAAAATATCCCTAAATTCCGGCTTGATGGTTCGCAAATCCACTGACATGATCAAGGGGGCCGCCATGACACTCCATATGGCCATTTGGGCCACACTTTGGTCATAACTCAGCCCATAATTGCCGATAATCAACTGAAAAATTAAAATTTGCATTGTTGTCAGTGTTTTGACAGTGATGCCACGTAACAGCGACCGAGTTTGATATTATACAGGGTGATTTTTAAAAAATGGAAGGCGTTGTAGGATTTTTATTTGTAGCCCGATTTCAAAAATTAAAAAAATAAATTAAATGGCTTTTAATTTTAGAATTTTTTTGAATGTCGTAGTATATTTTGGGCTATGTTCCAGTTTCTAATTTTAAATAGGAAGCCAATTGTTTTTTCAAAGTTTGAAAGATATTAGTTTTTTTAAACAAAATAAGTAAATAGATAATAATAAAATGAAATTTAAAAATATATGGACAATTTTCTTCTTTTTGATATTATAATAATGGTATTGTCTTATTTGACACCATGCATCTAGATTTTATTATTATTTTT